TTTTCGTGTGATAGGTACTTGTTTTACGTCATGCTGCACAATTTTTAGTTTGTAGTAAAACCACTGGAGTCTCCTAACCATACTTCAATGGGAGTTAAAGAAATACAGTAGACCCGCGGTAATCCAGACCCCGTCTAATCCGGCGCCCCCGATAAACCGACACGCTTATCACTGTTGATTTGCACATAAAATCAATTGAAAATGATTTTTAGATTTGTAATTTGTAGGATTACAAGGTACTTGTTTATCTTAAAAATGTCATGTTATGCATGTCAGTAATGGCTGATAACAGAATATGGCTGAACTAAATATAATTTGTATGTTTGTACACAACAACAACGTGTATTCGCAATAAAAATGATTTGATTTGAATTTGAAAACTTCCGGTCTATAGAAGGTAGTCTTAGGCAGTACTCTGTAATCCGATCGCCCTGCAAAACGTTTGTCGGATTACCGCGGGTCTGCTGTATATAGATAACGCGCAGATAGTAAAAAACTAGTAAAGGACAGGCTTGTTCTAGAAAGTACTGTAGGCGGCTGGCAGCTGGTGTAACATCCACTCAATAAATAGCAAATGTGGCCTCATTGCGGTGTGATCGTGAAAAGCTATCAATGTCAAATGAACATAGGTGACACTAAAATATTTTGTACTAGCCGTGTTATCCAGCCTTTAAGTATTATTGAAAATATAAATGTTTAAATAAAATTGGATCTAATTTCGCTATACCTAACGTTGAAATAATATATAACTTCTAAATGATGTAATTGAATGAATGAACTGTTATTATTAAAATTTATTTATTTGTCAATTTGATTTGTGTAAACTTCTCTGTTACTTTGTTTTTGTTTGTTTTTTATTTAATTTAACTTTATATGATTTTTTATTAAATACACAGCTGCTCATAACTGTACTAATTGTTAGTGGAAACTTTGTTGATGTATGTTAATCTATATTTAATTTATCTAAATGTAATAAAATATTGTATGTTTCCCAAATAAAAATAAAATAAAAAAATTAAATAATAAATAAAAAAGAGTTTATCTATGGCCTTCAAATCCCGTTCGCTTTTACTTCGTAAGATTAAAAGTTGTTGCATAATAGAAACCATAATAGAGGTGATGACGGGGTACAGTAAACAAAATTCTATTTAGTCCGTCAGTTAGATGATCAAAAAAAATAATGGACACGTATTTTTTCTTTGGGCAATCAACCAAAAAATGACAAAGTTATAGCGCGTCAAAGTTTGGGAGTAGGGGCTCGTGCCGTCACTTTTGAGTGAAAATTGTACTTGTTTAATTGTAAAACGTGACGTCATGCGACTTTTCAAATCAATATATCTCTGCAATGTTTATATTATGTGAAAAATGAAAAAATACGTGTCCAATACTTTTTGATAATCTACCTGATAAACGAAGAAAAAAAAATTAGTCATCATCCCTATTCGAGTTTACACCAAAAAATCGAAATAGAATTTTCAATTATTGATCAAATAAACCACTGCAATGACTACCGAGCTAAACTTACAAGGCATAGAACCCTGACAGACCCTCTTTAATAAGGCACTTTTCGGGGGCATTACACCTGATGCTTGGAAAAATGCTATTGTGATCCTTATTCATAAGAAAGGCGACCACACAATGCTTGAAAATTACCGACCTATATCCCTACTCAGCCACATTTACAAGGTATTTACAAAGGTCATCACTACACGATTGACTAATAAGTTGGACTCTATGCAGCCAGTAGAACAGGCAGGTTTTCGCAAAGGTTTTTCTACTTGCGACCACATTTTTACTGTAAGACAGGTACTGGAGAAATGCAACGAGTACAATATGCCTCTTTCGTTGGCCTTTGTAGACTACGAAAAGGCCTTTGATACTGTAGAACATTGGGCGGTCTGTCAGTCGCTTCAAAGACAACTGGTCGATTCCAGATATGTGGAGGTTCTCAAGGAAATATATAACTCTGCCACGTTACAAATCAAATTACACGATATTTCAAAACCTATTCCAGTCAACCGAGGTGTGAGACAAGGAGACACGATATCGCCCAAGCTGTTTACGACTTGCCTAGAGGATATATTCAAGCTTCTCGATTGGAATGACAAGGGCATTAACATCAATGGCGAACGCCTCACCCACCTGAGATTTGCAGACGACATCATTTTATTCTCCGAAAATATCATGGACCGATGAACGATGTTTTCAAGAGCAATATCCTAATAAACCTCAAACGCCGTGTCTATGAGCAATGTGTGCTTCCAGTCATGACTTATGGTCCCGAAACATGGACCATCACAAAGCAACATTTACACCAACTTCAAGTTGCGCAGCGGGACATGGAGCGGGCGATGTTGGGCATTTCTCGAAGAGACCGAATCAGAAATGAGGTCATTCGAAGAACGATAAAGTTACCTGACATCGCTTGTGTAATTTCCCGCAGCAAATGGAAATGGGCGGGACATGTCTGTAGACGCGAGGATGGCAGGTGGAGCAGAAAGGTAATGGAATGGAGGCCGAGAACCGGACGCAGAAACGTGGGGCGTCAACCAGCCCGGTGGACAGATGACATCATTAGGATAGCCGGAGCGAAATGGATGCAGTCTGCCCGAGATCGCAATAGATGGAGTGCAATGGAAGAGACCTTCACTCAGCAGTGGGTGGATAGTGGTTGAGGAAGAAGAGAAGAAGAAGAAGATCAAATAAAACAAGTTTCAACGCTCAATAAAAGTCTTTTGAAGGTAGCTCGAAAAAGTAAAAAGCACGCTTTTACTTACTGTACTAAAAAGTCAAAAATATACAAAATATACTCGCTGTTTACTTTAGGGCTTATAGTAAGCCATGTTTATAGTTGATTTTAAGCTATACCTTTGATTTTTTTTTTATTTAATGAGTGGTGTGCGTGAAAACCTAAGAATCAAACATTTTAATTTTTTTTGTTACATTTGTTAAGATTACTAGAAACTATCAAACACCCGGGATTCGCTCATGATTTTCAATTTTTTCTCGAGATGGCGTCTATAATAGTGTTGATAGTGAAGATTTATTGACACCGGAATTAAGAAGAAACTACCTAAGCAGTCATTCAGAATCTATTACTCCTGAAATTCAGAAAACAATATACAGCTCCCAGGCAAAAGTATTATTTCCTTGTACTTAGGTATAGTAAAGAGACCTGGCGGGTCCGCGGCCATTCGGAGACGGGTTCCGCGACCATACCCGCCCTTTCGGCACGCACTAGGGGGACCGCGGTCCTCATAGTGCGTGTCGGGTGACGGTGTAGGAGTCTTGTCTGGTTTTAAGTGGCCCTGTTCAGGGCGTAGGTAGGGCCCTGTTCACTTCAGCGAGCTCCAGGGCTGGCTGAAGGGGACAGGGAGGAGTCCCACATACCGGCTTCTCGCTGCTCCAGTGGTTGAGGAATGCGTAAGGCATTTCCCAGACACAAAAAAAGTATAGTAAAGACATGGAGCAAAAAAAAGGCAATTTTTTTGTAGGAGAAAAATCGTACATACTATGATTGCAATAGTGCAACGCACACATCCTACCAAAAGTAGATAAGAAACAAAATCAAATACAGCTGATTGTCATTTCTACAAAAGGTGTGACGTGGGCTGAAAGTCTTTTAATTATCGTCTGGAATATAAAACTTAAAGGGGGTAAATAAGGGGACGCAATGCAATATGTAAAAATCAAAAACATATTCTATGCAGCAGAAGTTGCGACCAACCGCTTCCTAGTACAGAATAAATGTGTTAATATTTTACTTAATTTCTAATTAATGAATAAATAATGTCAACATATTATTTAGTGATAAGTGGTAAGAACCTATGTAAATGCACTCATTATTTATAAATAAACTGATAAATCACGTTTAACGACATTTCTCTCATTCCGTCAGTTGGAAAATACGAACATTAAACTCATTGCCCTAATAGCATCATTAAAAAGTTTCAGGGTCACAATACACGTCAAGTTACAATAGAATTTTAAACCTGTATAATGATACAGGTAATGACATAAACTTCGAAAATAAGGTCCGATTATATTATGTTCATATTAAATGAGCACTTGTTCTAACAGTTCTAGAAAATGTGCATAAATGCGAAAATGTATGTTGTGGTTGTCCTTCTTTACATGCAGATACAAAAAATAGTTGTTTACGGAATATGATATTATATGTCAAAGCGACTTCGATGCCGCCGCCGCCGCTGTCCGCCACAAACGACCAGTGCCGGTGGTCACATGACAATGCAAGGTCACAGTCATGCTTCACTTATATTCAATCTTGTCTCTGCGTAAACTTAAAAGGCTTAGAATTACTCAAACAAAAGGATTATCTTTGGCCCAAACCCCTTCACAAAGTTTTACCAGCCTCCAAATTGTCATTACTTTTCCTTATGAAAATGCCCACATTGCGCTGTGCAATCTTTAGGCAGGAACAGGAAAATATTCACATAGTAATTAATTCAATAGACATAAAAAATCACAGCATACTTTCTGGTATGAAACATTACAGAAACACGTTTATAGCCCCTATTTTCTGACATGCCTTGCAACATGTTAATATTACCACTAAGATATGTAATTTGTTAGATAATATGATACTTAGCCTACCTACCTGGGTTGTGCCTGGATGTCAATTCTACTAAGTAATAATAATCATGTGTCAATGTTGTTGCGGTAGAAGTCATTGTTAGTAAAACACAAAATTATTTATTATCCATATCTAATTATTTATTAATAAGTAACATATTTGCTTACTCATTTGTTATAGTCATCTGTATGCATTTTTTTTTATGTTTTAGTAACAAGAGCAGTGTTAACAAGCGACACTATTGAACTACTAATAATACAAGATTTTGAAACTAGCTAAGCAGAATGGAAACTTTGGTCCCATTCTTACAAATTTCTGAAAGAGTATTATAAAATTGCAATGCTGCCTTACACAAAGAAAAACAGATTACTGTGTGAACTGTATGACGGGAAATAATTTCACTTACCGTAACAATCATGCAATGGTTCTCTTTGAAGGCTCCACAGCATCCGAAGAAGGCGACGATAAACACAATGATGCCCACAATTATGAGCACAATCGGTCCAGAGATGTAGAAGTTTTCACCTGTCAGCTCCACATATGGTGAAAGACTAATCTGTGCCTTTGCTCCCACAATTAGAATGATCAGGCCTGTCACCTGGTGTAAACAGAACACATTTAAAATATGAGAATCTTTTCTTTTTAACATAAAAACATAGGGAGGGTAGGTGCAATATTGTGACTGCAATATACTACATATAATATAAACCTCCAATAATGCACCTTAAACTAACAGTGGTTTACATTATATTTGCTTGCACCAACAAAGCAATTCCATCAGTTTTATAGTTAAAGTAATTGGAATTATTTTTGTACTGAAAAATACAATATGTAGTGTAGTCAACACCTTAATAGCCAAATCTTTGTGTGAGATTTTTTTAACAGTTATTTAATATATTTGAATTACATCCATCCATGTATTCTAAGTTGAATCTAATACTAATTGCCAAGTCCTTCGCCATTTTAACGGCGTATTCGCAATTACAGACGAGTGGCGCAATCATAATGATTCATCTATAAAAAATGTATATTAAATCTTGTTTAAATGGTCTTTATTGTAATTATTAGTTAATTCGAGCAGTAATGTAAATATTTGATTGTTAAAAACAAATGCATTCATAGTTGTTGATGATAGGGGATTATGTCAGGTCAGGACTTACCGCGAACAAAAGATTGAAGCAAAAAAGGAGGTACTTCACACACGACATACCGCCCCCTAAAGCCATGTTTTTATTCTAAAAATTTCTTCTTTTAATTAAGATTCTTGAATCTGAAAAAAATAATAAGGTAATTCTAAATAAGTTTGTTTACTTTACACCTCTATTGTGTCTAGATGTTGGTAGAAACATCGATTGCGTTCTAGTTTTTTGCGTATCACGTATATTACAAGTATTTCATTATCACTTTCGGTTATTTAAAAAAAGAAATATTTTTGGGAGTAACATAAATAACTGAAATGTTCACCAATCATAATCAAAGCTTACCGCCCAATTTTATCGCCAAAATATTTTGATAGCCAGCGACGTTACGCCCTCGGAAACACAAGCACGTCCACAAGAGTCAACACAACACAGACGAACAATGAATGACACTGACAGAACACACCACCAGGGTTGAGATGCAGTTTTATGATTTCCCCAAACTGATTTTTATATATCCCCAAAATAATACGTTTTCTAAAAGAAACACCTAATCGCTTTGTTTGTTACAAAAAAAAGATGAATTTTCGATGTGTAACATCTTTCCTCTCGCTTTCCTGCAATTTGTGGGAGTGATTACGTGAATTGGGACGGAAGTGTGTAACAGCAAGTTTGAGAAGCGCGCTATTTGATTTGATTTTAGAACATAATGTTCAAATGACTTATTCCTTTTGTAGTAGGTTTTATTTTTTCTTTTACTAATATAAAGTGAGATTTCAAAAGTTACACATTATACGCGACTACTTTAAGGTTCGCTCGTTTTTTTGACCATGTTCACTCATACACATGTCACGCCACCTACGATTTGTGTGCTATTGAGGTTAACTTCCATCACATAATGTAAAATAACAATAAGTGCGACAAGACAAATACAGTAGACTAACTAGCTAGACTATTTTGAAATAGTTCTGGATTCTTGCATATTAGCCAGTTAGCCATATTGGAAGAGATAATCACCGAGCTAAAGTGGTGGATCACTTAACTGCTTTATTGTAACGCCATTTAGATACTTGTTCTGAAAAGTATCTATGGATATAAAATTTTCCCTTTAGTTACACACTGGTGCCAATTCTGGCGTGATTCTCTAAACTTAAAACTAAATTTAACATCAGTCTCTCCTTTTCATTCTGTATAGAGAATGACAAGGATATACTGCTGTCAAATTTAAGTTTAGGTTTAGAGAATCATGCTAGAATCGACACCACTGTAAATGTCAAAAAGTAAGCGAACAGGCTGGCAGGATGTTAGTCGAATGAAAAGGACGATCATTTTATTACTTTATGTTTTAAAAGTGCTATCCCCAAAATTCCCCATAATGTATTTATTTTCCCCAATAGTTTTTCCAAAGATTCGTTTTCACCAATTTTTCCCCAGAATTGCGAAAAAAAACTCTAACCTGGTAACACTGAACATGGCAGCAATCTGCACAGAGTAGGATAGACTAACCATTGGGCTATAGTAAGCTAATTTAATATTATTATGTATTAAAATATTTCAAAATTAACAAAAAAGTCTCAAATGTCATTTCTTAAAGTCCTTGGCCCTGGAGGTACAATGATTAGCCCCCACGTAAATCAGTGATTGGCAGTCTGAATATTTTTTAATTCTATGAAATTTTGCTTATTATACGATATTTAGGTATGTTTAATGGCTTGCTCCGCGGAGGAAAAAAATGTCCACAGAGGACTTGTCATGACTCAATGCACACTTGCTCCTGCTGCGCGTAGTCACTCATCTCTGTAGGTATATAAAAAATATAATAATAGTGTCGATTCTGACACGAATCTCTAAACCTAAACTTAAATTTGACAACGGTGTGTCCTTGTCTTTTTTATAGAGATTGTAAAGGAAAGACTGATGTCAAATTTAGTTTTAAGTTTAGAGAATCATGCCATAATTGACACCAGTATCATAATGGCGTTATATTAAAGCAGTACTCTAGTGGATCACTAAATAGCTCGGTGATTATCACTTTCATCTGTCAAAAGCAGGTAACGAAATTCATTTCAGCATCTCTACTACAAATAAAGTAGCGACATCTTCATTACTTATCAAGCTTTTGGTAACTTGCGTGATGTGAAAAAGACAGACTAGATGGCGTTACAAGCTTAAAATGGAAATGCTGAAAAAACAAATATTTTATATTATGACAAAATATTCAATTAAATACTCTTTTTATGAAAAAATGCTATAAATGATTTTAATTTTGTATCAATTACTGATATCTTACAAATATAAATGTAAAAGTTTGTATGTTTGTTACTTAATCACGTAAAAACGGCTGAACGGATTTAGATGAAATTTGCCTGGATTGACACATATGATACTTTTTCTTTGATGATTGATTCTCAAAAACCTAAAGTTAACACGGACGAAGTCGCAGGCGGATGCTAGTAACTGGATATAAGCAATGTGCAAGGGGATTAGCAAGTGTGTTAGGCGATTTCGCAACCGATTTGTAAATGTAAAGAATTTGTGCTACGATTTATTGCGGACAATGACGTTATTTAAATAAAATATTGAAATATATAAATTTATTTCTTGACTGCCTTAATAATATCCTACATCCACTATAATTGTGAGTAAAAAGCCCTAATTTAGTCGTTGCAGAAAGGGTGTGACATTGTCTTGTTAGCGTAAACATGTTAAATCTCATAACACAATAGTGTGCTATAATATAATAAATATTTCAAACTGCTTGGTGTTAAATTCTTTAATATTTTATTATAAAAAGGATATATAAGGATGTACAGGCAGACACCCACGTCACCATGCTCTAAATGACATAGTGTTGAGAGGTCTTAGGTCGGCCGGCGTTCCTTCCGTCCTCGAACCACCTGGTGTCAGCCGCACAGACGGAAAATGGCCTGATGGTCTTACATTGGTACCGTGGGAGAAGGGACGATGTTTGGTGTGGGACGCGACGTGTGTCAGCACTTTCGCCGCTACCCACATCGGCCGCACAACACGCAGGGCTGGGGCGGCGGCTGAGTAACGGCGAAGCGCTTAAAATATTCCTCGTTGGGGCAAGGATATATTTTCGTGCCTTTGGCGGTGGAAACGGCGGGTTGTTGGAGCGCAGAGGCCAAGCAATTTGTGTGGGACCTGGGCCGCCGACTCAGGCAAAAAACTAATGACCCTCGCTCCGGGTCGTTTCTGGCACAAAGATTGTCTATTGCCATCCAGCGTGGCAATGCTGCAAGCATAATGGGCACCTTTGCGCCAGAAACGATACGGGGTGATATTTGAATATTATTAGTATTTGTATATTATTCTTGTACATAATGTTAATTTTATTTATTATATTATATTTTTTAAGGTTTTTAGTTTTAGGTTCATTGTTACAACTTTATGCAATTAGAATGTATATTTAGTTAATTCTACCACATAAATTATAGTACTTTTATACTTTATTAACTAAATTAAGTAATAAATTAAAAAAAAAGGATATTAAATGATATTATCTTTAAAAAGATATTAAAACTTTTTATCTATGCCTGATGATTTAGAATAAACTAAGAACTACTACTGACTACGTCTGCCGCCTACAGACTCGAGTACACAAATACTTTTGCCTAACTAATGTTTTCTCATGCAAGCGACTGTAGTCTTAGTCTTAGTAGTACGGCGGGCTGTTTCCGCAACTCGACACCCAGTGCCTATTTTGCGTGGGGATTGGCATCAGTCCTGCCATCCCAGCTCCTCCAGAAAGCTCAGCAGTCCCCGAATGTTGCTGCAGGCCTCTATTATTGTCTTCGGGCTTCCCATTAGAGAAGTCCTTTGTCTTGCAACGCCCCTGCACTTCAGTAGGACATGGGCGCTCGACTCATCCTCCTCCAGGCAGGCTTTGCACAGAGGGCTGTCAGAAATACCTATATTACAAAGGTGTTTGTTGAAGTAGTCTGATTAACTTACGTGTTAGCTGCAGGTTTACCTTAGGAACGGCTTTCCTAGCTTGCCTGCAGTCCGTGAGTTTTGACCAGTGTTCGTCGTGTTGTCGTTGAGAGCGCTCCCTTATCCAGGTTTGCAGCTGTCGAGTGCAGGGGTATAATTGGCTCCGGACCAATGGCCGTCCTGCTGGACCCCTCCCTGGCTAAGCAGTCCGCCGCATCGTTACTCCTTGAGCCGCTGTGTCCTTTAATCCACTGTAAGGTCAATCTATTGTTGTTAGCAATATTAGTCAACTTACTGTGGCATTCATAAATTCAATGGACAGAAGCGCTGTCAGAGAGAATACGAATATGTTTTCCTCTTACCCCGCGACAATCTATCGCCTCAGCGGCTCGGATGATGCCCACATACTCTGCCTGGAAGACCGTGTTATAGGCTCCCAATGCTGTCGAGAAAAGTATATTTAGGTCTTCGGAGAAGACACCCGAACCTGTACCATAGTTGGTTTTTTTACAACGGTCCGGAGTGTCTTCATAAAGTTGAATTTTATATTTTCTGTCGAATACGTACGTCTTAGGAATAAGGTCGCAAAGTACGGAAAGTGCCTGTGTATGTCTGCTAAGATGCTGGTGTGCGGGGAGTTGTTGTCTCTCCATAGCCCCAGCATGCTTAGGCGTGTGGCTGTACAAGCAGCTTCCTGTTGTATAAACAAATGGAGTGGTCTCTCGTTAAGTATTGTCTCCAGTGCTGATGTGGGAGTGGTTTTCATGCAGCCGGTGATTGCACAGCATGCCCGCCTCTGGAGACGTCTTAACTTATTAATTGTCGTTACCTGGATTGTCTTGGTCCACCATACTACTGCTGCATAGCTGATGATGGGCCTAATTATGATCGTGTACAGCCACTTAACAATGAGCGGTGATAGTCTCCAAGTTTTGCTAATCATTTTGCGACATTGCCAGAAAATGATGTTGGTCTTCGTAGTAGTTTTGTCAATGTGAGATCCCCAGTTCAGTTTGGAGTCTAGGGTTATTCCTAGATACTTTACCTCATTGGAGAGTCTCAGTGTCGTGTTAAATAGTTTCGGTAGCCGATAGTCGCCTAAGGATCTTTTGTTCGTGAACATGACCAATTCCGTCTTCACTGGATTCACCTTAAGGCCGTAGTCGTCACACCATTTTTCAACCACCTTCATTGCCCCCCGCGTAACTTCACAGGCGGTGCATGCAAACTTACCCGGAATTATGATTGCCAGGTCGTCTGCGTAGCCCACCGTGTGGAAGTGAAGGTTGTTTAGTCTGGTAATTAAGTCGTTTACGACTACATTCCATAGCAGAGGCGATAGTACTCCTCCTTGAGGACATCCTTTAGTCGCCAATGCTCTGAGATGGTTGTCATGTTGTAGTCTGATTAGTCTGTTACGGAGCATGTTACTTACCCATATAATGGTCTCATCGACTCCGTGTTTGTCGAGTGCGTCTACAATGCTGGCG